ACGGACGCTATTACCTTCTCTTAAACGACTAAAATATAAACGCTGAACATTTATCGAAAACAAGAAATGGAACCAGTTTAGGTATATTACTCCATATACTGTTACATCTCATATAGTTGTTAATATGAACTATTAAATATGCAAGATGCTTCTGATTCAGAAAGTGTTGTATTTCCAGACGCTGACAAAGTGACCTTTGATCTTGGAAGGCACGATGCACCTCAATGGCGTCGACAAATCAAGTATCTAATTTAGTCAAAGTCGGCTATGTAGAGGTCCAGAGCAGGCGCATCAAGGTACGGTGTTACAAAACTAAAATTGATTTAGGAGCTATATAATACCAATTCAGACTTAGAACTAATACACACTTGATAACTGGAACAGACTGACAACCCTAATGCAAACTTTATAGGGCTGAAAACAGACTTAATCCAAGACCTAAGGACCAAACCACACATGCATAACAACTGAATAGCCAGTTTAGCCACCATGACATACTGTTGTATACTTTCTTTTGTACGTCAGTATATAATTTAACTGCCCAGTGCATGGCTATAAAGTTGCTGGTCAAGGTCATTAAAGAGACCACGGAGTGTTTTCGGTTTCGGTTTTAAAGTAAACACTTCCATGCTGCGGGTTCTTTGAAAACAGAATGACATAAATTTAATAACAGTATATATTGAGCCGGAAAAGCGACAAGCAAAATCAAAGACCGCATGTATAAAGACAATTTTCCCACTTGTGGGAGTTGGTTCCGCAAAATGTATAATTAACTCCAGTTATTCTGGTTCTTGGCGTGGAACCAGCTACAGTAAATTTTGTAAATTTTCGTATTTATATTCATATGTGTTAAGAATAGTCAGTACTCAATAAAAGGGATAGATATTAAACAAGTCAAAACATTGATTACATAACAACTTACATTGCGCAACTTAGTACAATAACAAGTCCAGAATTTTGAGACCAATTCATTTAACTGGATGCATAAATATTAATCAGTATTATTTGATACATCTAAGCACTTGTATATTGAACCACTACGCTTCCTATAATGCTTGCAAACATGTCGTGCAGCGTGCTCTGTCGTACAGCGAGCTCTGACAAACAGAAACCTGGAAATCGGGGAAATCTCAAAACGAGGCTCTGCCGCTAGAAACGTTTGGCGGTCTGGTACGAACTTGATATTATATCAATCACATTGTGCGCTACAGAACTACATTGAATAAGCGCAAAAAACACATAACAGGTGTAACCAGTGAGCCAGATGCCTGTGAATCATTTTACGACCTTATCAAAAAGGGGCAGTCTGTAACGTCTTAGTTAAGGTCATGCTGCCTACACCTCGCCATAAAATATAGAAATACGATGTTATTAAAGTTTAAAATTAAATTCATTTGTGAATACCATTGTCTTATGAAACAAGGAATTGGAATTCAGTGTAACCATAGTTGTTTGTGATGTCTATTTTCACTTTCACACGAGAAAATTCGGATCAGCTGAAAAGTAGGTCATTGTCTGAATAGGTTAATGAGACTCATGTTTCGGTTTGCCGTGTTCATTTTGTTAAAGGTCACATGCAACATAATAAAAACACAATTATCTCTTATTCATGACACATAATATACATTGCTGGTTATGAAAAAACACATAAACAAAATTATAAGCGTACAATCGCACATCAAAAGTGCAATATTGTGTACTTGGGTTTACTTCCCAAGAAACGAAGCAGCCGGGATACCGAACCCAGTCAGAGCGGGTGGGTGTGCACTCAAGTGTAACGGCTGGTTCAACATTTGCAGATGCCCTCACGGCTCATTGTGTGTGTATATATAGAGATGTTGGGTTTTGTAAATACATGCTCATTTTTTGTGTATAACATTTTACAATCAACAGACATCATAACATGTCATGTGTTCAAGTAGCACACCTGCCTGTCTGTGTAATTACATAATGTGACAGAGACCGAACTCGGGCCATAAATCAATGCGTTTTGTTTATGGTGTATAGCCTGATTGGTGTTAAGTTCAAATTGCATGTGGTCAGTGATCGCAGTTGTGTATTGAATATTGTCATTAGCAGACAGGCAGGCAGACACACAGGTGTCAATAAAACAAGACATTGAGTTTTGTCTGTGACAACGACATATCTATATCACAGTTAGAAATTCTGTCAACGCTAAATAGTGACATTGCTTTTAAGTATCGAACTGAGAAAGTTTCTCGGTAAGAAGAACGTGTGGTGAAATAGACAAATGAAATTACATAAACAGTTAATTTACTGTCATAACATATAAAAAGCTCGCGCCTGTGAGATATCAACAAAACATTAGGAAAATAGCTCACACCAAAGCCTTCACCGAGTATTCACCGGACAGCCCGCTTCCAAGTTGCGCGAACCTATTTCACTGCAGCCCAGCTGTTGAAACCAGTTTTCCCCCGAAAAGTCGTTACGTTGCATGTGACCTTTAAATAGGATTGTGGTGTCAAATACCCACGGCTGGAAAATTAGAACACCCCACCCCCACACACACACACACACACCTCCCAAAAAAAAAGAAGAAGAAAAGAAAAAAGTTAAAATAAATATATAATATACAATGTACTAGTATATATATAAAAATATAAATAAATGGATGAATAAATAAAAATAAATGAATAAGGGCAGTAAAATAAATACAATAAAATGAATAATTAGAAAAAAAATAGATAAATAAAAATATATTAATTAAAGAAATAGAGAGAATAATGGTTTAAATTAACCCAATTTTTTAAATACGTGCGTGAAATAGGAGATTCGTCAAATATCGTCACAAAAACACTCAAAAAACATGAAAGAGATATTTAAAACTGTTGCTCTGTGCTGACAGACATGGTCCAAGCGATGGTTTGTGCTTCACGAGAACACGACGATATCTCCAGCCCGCCTTGTGAAATACCTGGATGAGAAGGACGCCAAGAAAGGGAAGCCCCGCCATGAGTACTTCATCAACGACATGGAGACGGTGGAGAAACAGCCTGGGAAACCTAGAACCATTCATATCATCCTCAGGACCAAACCTTGTACGGACATCTACTTCACCTGTGACTCCGGTAAGTATAAATATATGCATACAATATTATATACATACCTGCCGAAATGCCAGCAGGCGAAGGCGACCTCCAAAGCATATATAAGTATATACATACATCAAATAGGGCACTGTGACTGAGGTAAGTATAAATATTTGCATAAAACGAATAAAGCACTATCTCCCGGGTATGTTAAAAATATACATAAAACAATAGGGTATTTTGTCTTGGGTAAGTATAATATCATTCATAACACAATAGTGCACTGTTTTGGGGTAAGTATACATTGCGTTTGCATACAATGTCTGTGGTAAGTTGAACATCATATGTATAAAGCAAGTGGGTACTATATATCGGGTAAGTATAAAGATATACACACAACAATATGCCAGTGTGTCTCGTACAAGTATAAATATTTTATTTACACACAGCAGTAGGACCCGTGAAGATCCGGGTTAGAATTGATCTTCAGTAACCCGTGCCTGTCGTAAGGGGCGACTAACGGATCGGGTGGTCAGACTTGTTGACTTGGTTGACACATGCTCATGCTGTTGATCACTGGATTGTCTGGTCCCGATTCGATTTTTAACGAACCGCCGTCGTATATATACAACAATATGTCATATGTGTCTCGTGCAAGTATAAATATTTTATTTACACACAGCAATAAGGAACTGTAAAATTCCATTTATATTCTCTATTGAAATAATATACTCATGCCAATAATGGTTTGTCACCCCTTCAAATATTTTAACAATTCGAGGGTGGGGGGGGCTTAATGGGGGTGGGGTGGGGGTTTGGGGGATGGAGGGGTGACAACCATTATTGGCATGAGTATATTTTCCGAAACGAAGTTGACAATGAAATTCAAATTTTCATAAATGTTTCAACAATTCGTCGAAGTTATAGCTTAAATTCAGGAGCGACAATCTTGGACAAATGTATTGGAAAAACGTGCTCATAACTTAATAGCAAGTGTCTGATGTGATGTTGTGTTTCATTCAGTGCTTACCAGAGTTTGGGTCATTTGTGTCTTATCTTGGAATAAATTGGCTTTATTTTAAAGCTTGCTCTGGTTTTACGTCATTGCAGGTATTGTACTTATGGTATATCATCAATATATCCACAGAGGCAGGTGCTGAAGAATGGTTCTCGTGTCTGCAGAAAGCAGTCAATTCAAAAATTGGTAAGTTTCTGATACCTTCGAAATTCGAAAACTAACGGCCCTAGGAATACAAAGCTTCAACTTGGCTTTCATCCTTAGTAGATAGACCGCCTCCGTGGTGTAGTGGTTAGAGCGTCCACCCGGAGAGCGGAAGGTCGCGGGTTCGATCCCCGACCGCGTCATACCAAAAGACGTTAAAATGTGGTACTTGATGGTCCCTGCCTGGCGCTCGGCATTAATGGGTACAACAAGGACTGGTCGGCTCGGAGTCATTATAATGTGTCTGAGTGGGGTATTCATGCTTCAGTGCGGCATGGTATCTCAGTGAGCTAGCACTATAAAACCAGCTTAAATCTGGGCTAGTACAAGCAGCCGCACATACACATACACATGCATGCATGTCGTCATATGAGCGAAATATTCTCAAGCACGAAGTTAAACCCAATTTCACCTCACCTCACCTTAGTAGATAAAAGTAAAAAGCAGTTTATCATCCAGTCATACAGATCTTGTATGAAGTTGTCAGTGGTTGTCTTGACATCATCATCACCATCGTCATCGTCATCATCACCATCGTCGTCGACACCTTGTTGTTGACTACGTCGTCTACATAATCAGCATTGTCGTAATCTTTATCCGTAATTTCGTTGAGTCACTCTATTGATCATCACAACCTGTTACAGATATGTTCCCAGCGAATATCATCAGTGCCGTGCACACCACGTTTAAGGGCGAGGTCAGTCTTTACATCGCGGATGGCCATCTGACAATTATTCAGGGGGGATGAAATCCTGTCGAAAATACCCTTGACGACAATCCGCAAATACAAGCAGGAAGAAAGAGATTTAGTATTCTGGATTGAAACAGGGAGGTGGGTACATTTGAAGAAGTTGCCAAATCTCTTCGAAGTTTATCAATACTCTCAATTGTCTGTTTGCGCTATGTGCTGTGTATTAATCTTACAAGATGTCAGTTGTTCGTAAGATACCTTGGAGAAACGTGAGCAAATGATGGGCGAATTATTATTTGATAGAAATTATATTACATTACTTGTTGTTGGAGACACATATTGTTTATCCCAACAATGAAATATGGAGACTTGATTGTGGTGAACCTTAATGAGTAGGGATAGGGGTAGGGTGGGGTGGGGTGGGGTAGGGTGGAGTGAACAGAGTGTTTGTTTGTTGGTTAACGCCGCATTCAGCAATATTCCAGCTAGCTATACGATGGCGGTTCGTTAACAATCGAGTCTGGACCAGACAATCCAGTGATCAACAGCATGATTATCAATCTACGCAATTGGGATACAATGACATGTGTCAACCAAGTCAGCGAGCCTGACCTAGTCGCCTCTTGCGATAAGCATGGGTTGCTGACCAATTCTAACCCGGATCTTCACGGGTGGATGTGTGGTGTAATTGCTGTGGCCTGTAATGTTGATACCCCGTAGCAGTAACACACCTGGTGCGTATGTTGGAACAGGAGCAGCCCGGTCGGGGAAGGCTTCATCACGTGTCAGTCGGCCCACGCCTACAACATCCTCACCCAGCTGGACGAGCAGGCCAGGAGGCTGAACACGACCCTGCCCAGATCTAGTAGGTGGTCCGCCGTCAGGGTTTGTTGAGTATACAGGCTTCTGACTAGTCGCTGGTTTCTATTGAAGTCACAAGTACATTCGGTTTTTAACATTGACACGGTGTGGAGCCAGGCAGGGCGTGAGTGTAATCAGGGCGTTAGTCACTGGCTGGAATCACTCAAGGTGTGGATTTAGGGTGTAGAGTCAGGGCGTGGAGTCAGGCGGGCTTGGGTGTTCAGTCAGGCAGAGTGTGGAGTCGGTGTGGGTGTGGAGTCTGTCAGAGGATTGAGCCAGGGTGTGGAGTCAGAGGGTGGAGCCAGGGTGTGGGGTCAGAGGGTGGAGCCAGGGTGTTTAGTCTGTCAGAGGGTGGAGCCAGGGTGTTTAGTCTGTCAGAGGGTGGAGCCAGGGTGTTTAGTCTGTCAGAGGGTGGAGCCAGGGTATGTGGAGTCAGTCAGAGGGTGGAGCCATGGTGTGGAGTCAGTCAGAGGGTGGAGCCATGGTGTGGAGTCTGTCAGAGGGTGGAGCCAGGGTGATTTAGTCTGTCAGAGGGTGGAGCCAGGGTGTTTAGTCTGTCAGAGGGTGGAGCCAGGGTGTGGAGTCAGATGGTGGAGCCAGGGTTTAGTGAAGTCAGAAGGTGGAGCCAGGGTGTTGAGTCTGTCAGAGGGTGGAGCCAGGGTGTGGAGTCAGATGGTGGAGCCAGGGTGTGAAGTCAGAGGGTGGAGCCAGGGTATTTAGTCTGTCAGAGGGTGGAGCCAGGGTATTTAGTCTGTCAGAGGGTGGAGCCAGGGTGGTGTAGCAGTCAGAGGGTGGAGCCAGGTGTGGGAGTCAGTCAGAGGGTGGAGCCATGGTGTGAAGTCAGTCAGAGGGTGGAGCCAGGGTGTGGAGTTAGAAGGTGGAGCCAAGGTGTGTAGTCAGGGTGTGGAGTCAGCCAGGGTGTGAAGCTAAGCTGTTTCGACATTGTTTTTTCCAGGTGGCAGTGATCCAACTGCGAACTACAACTACTCTCCAGGTTCGTATATGACATATTTTAAAAAGAAATTGAAATAGAATTACTTGTATTTGCAAGAAAGCCAAATCACCAATCAAACCTTGCTAACTAAAAATCTGTTTTCACATCCACGAACAAGTGAACTACTTGCTCAGTGTAACCTCAAGCAACATCCCCTTGCTAATCGTTTCCAGCTGTTTCCCCAGCCAATCCGATTAAATGTGCACAGGTTTGACATGATCACTGAACACCTCATGAATAATGGATTCAAAAATGAAACCAGATGATAAAATATATTTATCATTCTGATTCCGTTTGAAGCGCGGTCGTCTTACCATCGACCTGCACTGTCATAACTGATTTTCTCCTGGTGGAAAGATCTGACACCATAAAACAGACATGGTTCAAGTAGACACACAGGAACGCACGCACGCACGCACACACACCAGGGTGTGGCGTCAGGGTCTTTAGTCTGTCAGAGGGTGGAGCCAGAGGGTAGAACTAGGGTGTGGAGTCAGTCAGAAGGTGGAGCCAGGGTGGGGGGGAGTCAGTCAGAAGGTAGAGCCAGGGTGTGGAGTTAGAAGGTGGAGCCAGGGTGTTTAGTCTGTCAGAGGGTGGAGCCATGGTGTGAAGTCAGTCAGAGGGTAGAACTAGGGTGTGGAGTCAGTCAGAAGGTGGAGCCAGGGTGTGGAGTTAGAAGGTGGAGCCAGGGTGTGTAGTCAGGGTGTGGAGTCAGCCAGGGTGTGAAGCTAAGCTGTTTCGACATTGTTTTTTTCCAGGTGGCAGTGATCCAACTGCGAACTACAACTACTCTCCAGGTTCGTATATGACATATTTTAAAAAGAAATTGAAATAGAATTACTTGTATTTGCAAGAAAGCCAAAACACCAATAAAACCATGCTAACTAAAAATCTGTTTTCACATCCACGAACAAGTGAACTTCTAGCTCAGTGTAACCTCAAGCGACATCCCTTTGCTTCGTCGTTTCCAGCTGTTTCCCCAGCCAATCCGATTAAATGTGCACAGGTTTGACATGATCACTGAACACCACATGAATAATGGATTCAAAAATGAAACCAGATGATAAAATATATTTATCATTCTGATTTCGTTCGAAGAGCGGTCGTCTACCATCGACCTGCAGTCATAACTGGTTTTGTGCTAGTGGAAAGATCTGACACCATAAAACAGACATGGTTCAAGTACACACACACACACGCACGCACGCACGCACACACACGTGTCCTCTACCCAATTAAACACTCAATACTATTTATTATCCATGTATAATGTAAGGTCCATATCGTTCTGCAACCTAGAAATCTTGTGTATGCCATGACAGTTTAGGTGTGCTATTAACCTGTACCATTCGTCTCATCTCCAGAAGAGGGCGGTGAGGTAGCCTTGTGGTTAAAGCGTTCGCTCGTTACGCTGAAGACCCGGGTTCGATTCCCCATATGGTTACAATGTGTGAAGCCCATTTTTGGGTGTCCCCTCGCGTAAAGCCCACTCACGCATCTCCTGAAGACACACTGACACTATAGTTTCATTTGTAGAGCCAAGTCAACCACCCTCCCATCCTCGACATCGGATTATGTCCGAACCATGTGTGCAACCATATTTGCCGGACAGAAACAAATTGACGAGAGGTTACTCCACAAACAGCCACCCCAATCCTCCTCGCGGAGCAAGTTTTGGCAACTCAAGTGGTGAGCAATTCTGGTTATAATTAGGGGGGTTCGCATATTTCAGCATTTTACAGAATATATATTCGGATGTTTTGTGACGTATGTGTTTGTAATGGTAGTGGCCTTACCTTACCGGGATTTCCCTGAATCAGACCTGTCTGGTGTTATGTGTTTTCCTTGACTCAGACCTATCTGGAGTAATGATGTTGCTGAACTCAGACCTGTCCGGATAACGGGGGTTTCCTTGACTGGATTAATACAAGGTACCTAGGTATCTGGACTCTGTTTTAACTGTGTCTGGACATCTGGTCTAACGGGGTTTTCGAACTTAGTTGGGTACGGTGTTACGGGCATCTGGATTCTGATGGGTACGGTCTTACGGGGTTTTCGAATTCAGTTGGGTAAGGTGTAACAGGGTTACCGAACTCAGTTAGATCAGGGATAACAGGGTTTATAGAAAGTATATGTCGCAGACACACAGGAATCATGACAAGGGGATCTTAGCATCTGAGCCGCTAGTAAACTGCAGCCAAAGCACGAACAAAATGAATGGTACTTGTGTTTTTACATGTCTGTACGATTGTGTGTTTTCTAAATGTTGAACCCGTGAAGGTCCGGGTTAGAATGAACCTTCAGTACCCATGTTTGTAAGAGACGACTAACGGGATCGGGTGGTCAGGCTCGCTGGCCTGGTTGACACATGTCAATTGCGCAGGTCGATGCTCATGCTGATGATCACTGGATTGTCTGGTCCAGACTCGATTATTTACAGACTGTCGCCATATATGTGGAATATTGCTGAGTGCGGCGTAAAACTCAACTCACTCATTCACTCTAAATCTTGGAGAAAGAAGACTGACAATGCCCGCTTATGACATCTCCAAATGAGCATAACACGCAATGTTTACAAGAAATATTCAATGAATTGAAACAAAGCGTTGTTATTGTAGGCTTGGTTCGCAGTGAGAGTCGTCGTCCGTCGGAGCCTGCCCTGACTCAACACAGTAGAAACCCGTATTTAGACATGAATAATCCAGGTAGGTTTAATCCGTCACGAGTGTTATACCCACAGGGGTTTGAATCACTGCTTGGACAATAATTTTAAAAAATAAAAATCTAGACTTTTGTAATCATATCATGTAAAAAATAATATACGATTGCAAAAGTCCTCGACATCGGGGTATGTCCGAACTATGTCTAGATTTTTATTTTTAAAATTTATTGTCAACACAGTGATTCGAACCCCTGTGGTTAAACCGTCCGTTTGATATTGTAGTGTTGATGGATAGCGTGGGGGATTGGTTCTGGGATTTTGAAGGTAGACTAGTTATTTTTATCAACTACATCTGCCAAGTCAGATATTAAAACTGTTACCCTAAGTATTGTGTTAAATGCATACATATTCATCCCTTCATTCATTTGTTTATGACAAGTATATATTTTTCCAACAGTCTGAAACATAATTAACATTTCAAAGCCTTTCTCTTGGACTCAATATGAAATGGTTTGTAAGTTATTTGTGTGATACACTGGATCATCACAAGAAATCCATAAACAGACGTTGAGATTCAACATAACTTACGTAGGAAAACAAATAATTCAGTCGTATGATGCTCTGATATTTGCTGCCAAGAGTTGCGTCCCTTAGTCTATGCTGAATCACATGCTTTTGTTTCGATTCGCTCTGAGTGTATTACATTCAAGTTAGAGGGTTTCATCGAAATGGTAAACCTAAAAAAACTGAAATACAGTTCAGTGGAGATATACCAGACTCAATATATTATGCACTCAGTATAATAAACTTCAAGAATTGCGGCGGTTTTAAAATATCACTTAAACTCAAATTGTACATCTGTACTCCTACAATGAGAATGTATAACTGGATCAATAATCTGTTATCAACCTTGTATCCTTGGACCAATCATCTGTTTTCCACCCTGTATCCTTGCATCCTTGGACCAATCATCTGTTCTTCACTGTGTATCCTTGGACCAATCATCTGTTCTTCAACTGTGTATCCTTGGACCAATCATCTGTTCTTCACTGTGTATCCTTGGACCAATCATCTGTTCTTCACCCTGTATCCTTGGACCAATCATCTGTTCTTCACTGTATCCTTGGACCAATCATCTGTTCTTTGGTAACCAATCATCTGTTCTTTGCTGTATCCTTGGACCAATCATCTGTTCTTCACTGTGTATCCTTGGACCAATCATGTTCTTCACTGTGTATCCTTGGACCAATCATCTGTTCTTCACCTTGTATCCTTGGACCAATCATCTGTTCTTCACTGTGTATCCTTGGACCAATCATCTGTTCTTCACCTTGTATCCTTGGACCAATCATCTGTTCTTCACTGTATCCTTGGACCAATCATCTGTTCTTCACTGTGTATCCTTGGACCAATCATCTGTTCTTCACTGTGTATCCTTGGACCAATCATTTGTTCTTCACTGTGTATCCTTGGACCAATCATCTGTTCTTCACTGTGTATCCTTGGACCAATCATCTGTTCTTCACTGTATCATTGGACCAATCATCTGTTCTTCACTGTATCCTTGGACCAATCATCTGTTCTTCACTGTATCCTGGACAAATCATCTGTTCTTCACTGTATCCTTGGACCAATCATCTGTTTTCCACTCTGTATCCTTGGACCAATCATCTGTTCTTCACTGTGTATCCTTGGACCAATCATCTGTTCTTCACTGTATCCTTGGACCAATCATCTGTTCTTCACCTTGTATCCTTGGACCAATCATCTGTTCTTCACTGTGTATCCTTGGACCAATCATCCGTTATCAACATTGTTTCTTTGGACCAATCATCTGTTATCAACCTTGTTTCCTTGGTCCAATCATCCGTTATCAACCTTGTTTCCTTGGACCAATCATATTTTCTTCATCTTTTTATGTGAGGTTATATTCATATGAAAATCATCTGTCATACATTTGGGTCTAAGGGCACAATCACCTTTTGTATTCTTACGACATGATTGTATACCACATCAACATCTCCATGTCATTCCAGAACAGAAGTTGACTCAGGAAGTGCTAATCACAGAACTTATCCCACACAATACACAACATTCTGCATGACTGATTTAAAGATACGCTTAAATTTTTACATTGTTTCATTGCAGTGACCAGGGGCCCCCCGGCCCCTCTTCGTGCCCCCGGCGATGACCCGATGCCCTACACCGATATGGCCAGAGAAGGTACAGACTGACAGTGTATATAGTGCAGTAGTATCTCCATTGATAGCTTTGCCATCTGATGCCACCCTGTGCCATCCACAGGCCCTCGTGTCTTTGCGAGGATTAAAGATTACAATACGTCATGATGTATTGTACTGTGAAGCATTTTGAGTCGGGGGTCATCTCATTTTTTAAAATATTTTTTAAAAATCTTTCATCCTCGCAAAGACCCGAGGGCCTGTGGTGCCATCCCAATTTCATCCACGTTTTCACACTTCCTTAATGGCGTGTGTGAGTGTGAGCGACCGTTAGAGCAGGAGACGCTTACCTTTTTCACGAGCACATGAGGTCATTCATGTATTATGTGCACCCAAAAGCCTGGATCTATCCCTGTTATTATAATCACATTTTGGTTTTTATGATGTGAGGAATACGTTTTGGAGGAGACTTGCGAATGACACATTGTTAGTAGTTGACATTTTAATTAGAGATAAGCAGGCATTGTGTACCGGGCAATACTCCCTAAATAACTAAGGTATGATTACGGAATGTTTGTTTTGATAATGTTTGTACCTAATTATTTCCCTATTTGTCCTTCAGCAGACTACCTAAGCCCGATACATGCAAGTCAAGGCCACGACTCACCCTACCCAGGTGAGCTACCGTAAACGTACCGTCGATGTCAGTATTCTTACCTGTGATAACCTCCATTGGCATTGATACATACCTGTACACGTCCTATCAATGAACACGTAAGCAGTGGAATGCTTTCATTGGGGATCCGTCTCAAAGCTGCTTGATGTTGACTGGCTGGTGTGGTAGTGGTGGTGTTACAATTTAAGGGCAATGTTGGTCAACAAAAGGCCTATTTGCGCCCAGAACTGGCTTTTTGTAGCCACGCCTGAGTTACTTCCCCTGCTGATCCCAGAGCATTCCATTCATGACCAACTCGTGTTATTCCGGGACAAGCCGAATAGCGAGGTTACGGAAAGGGGCGAGTGTTGACGAATGATCCCGGAGTAGTTCGATATCAAATATGTCAGGAGAGCGGACTGTCATGAAAATACGTCAAAACACGTGGTTCCAGCAGTATTTCACTGTTGTTTTAAGAAACGGCGGGAAAACCAATGGCTGCAAGACACAAAGAAGGTATTGAATACATGACACGTTTGATGGATAACAACTTCTTTTTATTCTCAGAACTCTTTCTGGCTCAGATGAATGATCAGCATTTACTAGATGAAGGAGCAAGACTTAGCTCTGAAACGTCGCTCGAAGCATAAAAGACGTTTTTATCCTTGAAACGTGTCACGTATTCATGTTTAGCTAACTTCTAAATGCCTAAATGCAAACTTATCAAATCTTTCCCTTAAATTTAGGGCCGATCGCAGAGTAGTACGTATATTTTCTCTTTTGCATGTTTACATTTTAAAAATACTTCACAAAGCGCATATTACCATTGTCGAACTAAAGGTTCCGCTTTGCAAGTGTATGTTACCCAAGTACACTAACAACTGCCACTAACTGTTTGATAGGCGAACAATTACAACACAGAACGCTACCCGTGAAGATCATGGTTAGAATTGATCTTCAGCAACCCATGCTTGTCGTAAGAGGCGACTAACGGGATCGGGTGGTCAGGCTCGTTGACTTGGTTGACACATGTCATTGTTTCCCATTTGCGTAGATCGATGCTCATGATGTTGGTCACTGGATTGTCTGGTCCAGACTCGATTATTTACAGAACGCCATATAGCTGGAATATTGCTGAGTGCAGCGTTAAACAACAAACATGATAGTATGCAGCATTTAGTTGGGGAAAATTTGGCTCCCTTGGGTACGCCAAAAACTATGATGGTGGATTGGAATCGCTGTTCTCGCCGATGATGTCCTGGGTTGGTCAACATCATACCCGTGCACAGGTGGCATAAAAACAAACCGACAAATACCATGACAACATTAAAATTATGATAATTATATATGTGCATAACGTATCAGTATGGTAATGACTAGGCAATTGCTACTTTAATATAATTTACACGCCTCAATATTATCTAAATTGCACAATGCTCGTGTACGCTTTTTTCACGTGCAAGAATCCATGATTTGGATGACATCACAACCATTGTCCTTCTAAATAATTTGTTTTCTCCTCTGTTCTGTGTAATTTCTTCCCGGTTTCTCTGTTCCGGAGTAAAAATCGCATGGTTAATTGTATACCATTCAAAAATGTAGGGGATATTCCATTTTGCGAGCATATCACTAGCCAATGCCAATGCATATGAGAAAAAAGTAATATATCTCCATACAGATGAAACATTTCCAAAGGAATGGAATAAATTGTCACATTTTCCTTAATTTCTCTACATCATCTGTTTCCTCCTTGGCTTCATCACTTGCATTTTATCAATCTGTAAATCCAATATCCCCTACTTCTTTTGAATGGTATATCCATGATCAAATATATACGGTCAGTAAATGTATTTTATCCATGCATGGTTATTATGTATTTGACCCATTTATTCACTGCCGACAGGTTGTGACGTCATCTCCGTGTTATTCAGGGTTAGAGTGACCCAAAGCAGTCGTAAGAGGCACCTAAACTATTAGACTTGGCCAATCGGTTGATTGCGTGTTATCGTAACCCATGCAATGTGCTCATAATATCAATCACTTGTTTCTGTGATCCAAATAGCTTGCAGTCCGTAGTCACACAGCTAGAATATTGATTGAATATTGCCTTCACTAGATTATCAGTTTCCAAACTACATCAAAGATTCTTGAACGCGTCTAACGTTTCGAAACCGAAAGATCTACTTTCCTTTTAGTCCAAACAAAACTGATTATTTTGCACCATCTTCCACTAGCATGCCACGTACAAATGTATGGGCATTTCTTGTGTACGTACTATGCATGTCACCAGAGACCATATAATAGATTCTAGTATATGGTCTCTGATTTTACAATGCATGACAACATCCGATCTATTCACCCCGATAATCCGCACGCTGACGCAATTCAACATGGGCATGTAAAAACGCTTCATATCATTTCAACCACAAATAGTTTATCTATTTGAACGAACTGTCCCTTGCTGTTTATCAAAGGAATTGTGTAGAATCCTTCTAGTAGGCAGCCCTTATGGCGATGCTCAGGATTGTTAACAGTTAAGCCCTACTGCAGAGGGGACTCGCTATAGCTGAACCCCGGTATCTCCCAGCGGGGCCGAGACTCGAGACTTCCCCACCCCTCTATGAAATGCTCATTAGCTCTTCTCGTTGTCGCCGCATGGGCACATATTTCATTGAATTACGTAATAACAACTTCTTTATGATGCGACGTTTCGGTAAAGATTCTTATACCGTTGTCAAACAAGTGTTGACAATCTTGCTTGACAACGGTATAAGTGTCTTGACTCTCTTGCTTGACAACACACACTCTTGCTTGACAACGGTATAAGTGTCTTGACTCTCTTGCTTGACAACACACACTCTTGCTTGACAACGGTATAAGAGTCTTGACTCTCTTGCTTGACAACACACACTCTTGCTTCACAACGGTATAAGTGTCTTGATTCTTTTGCTTGACACACACACTCTTGTCACAACGGTATAAGTGTCTTGACACTCTTGCTTCACAACGGTATAAGTGTCTTGACACTCTTTCTTCACAACGGTATAAGAGTCTTGACTCTCTTGCTTGATAACACACACTCTTGCTTGACAACGGTATAAGTGTCTTGACACTCTTGCTTGACAACGGTATAAGTGTCTTGACGCTCTTGCTTCACAACGGTATGAGTGTCTTGACGCTCTTGCTTGGCAACACACGCTCTTGCTTGACAACGGTATAAGTGTCTTGACTCTCTTGCTTGACAACACACACTCTTGCTTCACAACGGTATAAGTGTCTTGACGCTCTTGCTTGACAACACACACTCTTGCTTGACAACGGTATAACTGTCGTGACGCTCTTGCTTGACAACACACACTCTTGCTTGACAACGGTATAAATGTCTTGACACTTTTGCTTGACAACACTCACTTTTGCTTGACAACGGTGTAAGTGTCGTGACGCTCTTACTTGACAACGGTTTAAGAGTCTTGACACTCTTGCTTGACAACGGTATAAGTGTCGTGACGCTCTTGCTTGACAACGGTATAAGAGTCTTGACACTCTTGCTTGACAACGGTATAAGAATCTATACCGAAACGTCACATCATATATACTAAAGAAGTTGGTATCCATAAAGTGTTTTACTTTCTTATTACTCTCCAACTTCTAAAATGCCAAACAGATCAGGCAATTACGTATTCGTATTGAATACATATGCTATCAAAAGTTCATAAAAGATGGAAGCTGCTATTTTTAATTATGAAACACATTCTGTCGATTGACATTTCGAATAGCATGAGATCTATGATAGCATTACTGTGTATGGTACATTTTAGACAAGGTGACGATAATTGGTATATTACTTTAGATCATTACTGGTTGGATATAGATTTGATATTGTTTAGGGAGCGCAAGGAGTTGACTGAAAAGACGCTTGTTTGTTAGAATTGTCATCAAGGATAAATTTTATGATGTACAGACTACATTTTCATTTACATTTCTGCCTGTTCATCTTTGGTTATGTATTACAAGATCAAATTGGAATTTTTATAGAACAATACCTGTTAAATGTAGAATCGAAAAGGCACGAAACCCCAACTTAGAATTACCTTATTAAGGACTGTTCTCCCCATTTATAAGCACCCGTGAAGATCCGTTTTAGAATTGATCTTCAGCAACCCAATGCTTGTCGTAAGAGGCGACTTACGGGATCGGGTGGTCAGGCTTGCTGACTTGGTTGTCACATGTCATCGGTATCCCAATTGCGCAGATCGATGCTCATGTTGTTAATCACTGGATTGTCTTGTCCAGACTTGATTATTTAC